CGGGAGGCCCGCCACGTCCGCAGTCATCATCGCGGCATCCAAGGGTGGTGATCTCTCTCTCCCTCTCTCTTTTTTTCCTTTTCATCTCTTTCCTTTTCTTCTTATAAATGTCTCAATAGAACCCACGCCACCTGCCATTACGCTTTCCAAGTTCAGGTTGCTTCTACCATAAATAAAACGTTTGATCCATCGTCTGGTGTCGTTTCACCTCAATTTAGCCCAAGGGAATCATGAAACTACTGCGACCCCCTGAGGTACCCAGTCTGGGTCGTGACATTTTATTGGCATCACGGACGGGATTCCCTTGTTGGTGCTAAAGCGATCGTTGGGACCAGGCCTTTACCGCAGCCCCTCTCTGAGAGGAGTCATACACCAGGGGAGACAGTTCTCAGAGGGCTAATAAGGGGCCTGATCCCTATAATTGTAGGCTCATTATGGCCTCCCTGGGAGGTCTGATTGTAGATTGTACCCCTCTCCTGGAGAGATTAGAGGGCTATAATGCCCGACCTTCTCCACCTGGTATGACTTGGGCTCATAGTAGTTGGCATGATCTGCAAGCAGTAGCGAACAGAATCTCCACTTTAGCTAAGGAGCAAAGGTTGAAGCAAGGAAAGGGGAAAGTGTTGGTATGTGTGGTTTTGGGAGCTGCCCTGGTGGCAGCACAACGGGATAAACACATGGTCCAACAAGCAGAAGAGGAGGGAATAAAATCCCTTCAAGATCCAGTGAAGGCTCTGCAGGAACAACTAGAAAATGAGACAAAAAGTCTCTCCGATCAGCTTGCTGCTGAGCAGGTGACCAACCAAAGGCTACATACCGGAGGCTCTGGAGCGGAAGAGAATATTACAGGAGCAATTAGATGAAACCCGCTCCCAAATCGGTGTAGAAAATACAGGTGCAGATTCTGATGAGGGAAAAGAATCAAAATTGTTATACCCTCATAAAGATCTAGAACATGTAAGAGAAATATTTTCCATTGGAAGGGAGGAAGCTATAATTGAACCTTTAATTAAGACCGAGACTGTAGATGGCGGTCAAGGGGGAGTCCAACAAGTTATTACCCGCATCGTTCCTTATTCCCCTACTGATTTGGCTAAAATTCAGGAAAATATTCCCAGGGACCCCGAGAAATGGAAACTGAATATGTATGGAGAGTATCTCTTACTGGGGGTGACCATATCTTGCTGAGTGAGGACGAGGCAAGAGGGTATTGGGGACCGAGGGTTTTTATAACCACAAATGACGATAGCCTTGGTCCCTGATCCAAAGGGTAGCATACTGGGCAGGTGGACTGGATCCTATGGAAAGGGGAGACCCCTTCTCGATTAAAATGCCTACGGCGGGTCACATTTTAGAGAGTGTACAGAAAACTGCGTGTCTCCAGTTGATGCGTGACCGATTACTGCTTCCACAACAGCCCTCTCCCATGCAATATGTGGCAGACCCTGACAGGTTGCACCCTCTTATAAGGGGACTACCTGATGCCTTGAAATTATATGCGGTGCAACTACAAGATCGGTTGAGGGCACCCCGACCCCAGAGAAGGGGAGGTCCCCCGGAGATGACATGGGGAGAAGTAGCACAGGAATTGATTAATTATAGGAGACGAATGGGATTTACCGGTCTGGGAGAGACAAAATCCAAGGTGGACCTTAGAAGGGTGGAAGGGAATGGAGGAATAAAAGCTACACCCTCACGCAATTCTCGACACACTCCGGCGAGGCCAACGTGACCCCCTGATAATAGAAGATATATACTATGGGCAGAGGGCATTTCAAAAAGGATTCCCAGGGAGGTGATGAACGGTTTGCCCAATCCCAACCTGGAAAGTTTGATGAAAAGCTGGGACAAAATAAAGGGAACCCCATCTCTCTCAGACCCCAAGGATCTTCCTCTCCTATCCCAGGAACCCGGAACTGAGTTGATTGATTTGAGCGTCCCCAAGTCGGGAAACCCCCTCCACCATCCCCAGTCAGAGAGCTGGGGGACGGCCGGTGGATCTATTTAAGAAGGCTCACAGAAAGTGACAAAGGGGACTTGTTCATTACCTTTCCCCTAGGCCCCTTCAAGACTCCAGTCACCTTTTTGGTAGACACAGGAGCCCAGGTGACAGCTCTCCGGACGGATGTTGCTAACCATCACGGCATAGTTGCTGACAAAAAACAAATTTGGGTCACAGATGTTTTTGGAAATTCTAAGTCACAGCCAACCGCCCGAGTCAGGTGTTGGCTGCCAGGAGATCCATCCCCTGTTGAAGTCACAATGATACTAGGCTCATTGCCCACAAACATTCTAGGATTGGACTTCTTAAAGGGGAGAGCGTGGGTAGACTCAAAGGGAAGGGAATGAAAGTTCGGACTCCCTGCGGCCTTGGTGAGACTGTTACAGTCGGTGCCTGCACTTCCTCCTTCAAAGATAGTCAATGTGAAACCCTACGCCTTGCCGTTAGGGGCAAGGCATTATTACCCTGTAATAATACCATAATTACCCTGTAATAACTGAGTTGCGGGAACAGCGGGTAAATTATCCCAACTCACTCACCTTATAACTCCCCTGTGTGGCCAGTCCATAAACCAAACGGAAAGTGGCGATTAACAATTGATTATCGGCGCCTGAATGCCAATACAGGTCCCTTAACAGCTGCGGTGCCTAACATGGCCGAGCTGATTGCAACTATACAGGACAGAGCCCACCAGATCTTGGCAACTATTGATGTGAAAGACATGTTTTTTATGGTTCCCTTGCAGGAAGCAGATAGAGATCGTTTTGCTTTTACCTGGGAAGGGGTGCAGTTTACTTTTACACGCCTTCCTCGGGGATACTGCCACTCACCGACCATCACCCACTACGTACTGCCACAGGAGATTGCCCGGGTTACCCCTGAGAAGGGAGTTAGGATATACCAATATATTGATGATATATTGATTGGTGGCCCTGATACCAACGTAGTGGGACAGACCCAGATGAAAATAATCACTCACCTGGAGAGTATAGAACTCCAGATCCCGACAGAGAAGGTACAGCTCCCATCCTCGGAGGTAAAGTTCTGGGGTATCTGGTGGAGGGGTGGGACAGTGTGTATTCCCCCCAAAACCTTGACTACCCTTGAACAAATGGGAATGCCTGGAAACAAAAGGGAACTCCAACGTGCCTTAGGCCTGTTGGTATTTTGGAGGAAACACATTCCAGATTTTTCC